TTATGAAAATTTCCAAAGAAGCTATTATGGACGCGAATTTAATGATCCTATGATGCATTTCGGCGAATACACAAAAAATCCAGTATTCCTAGTCGATTGCGTTCACCAGACAGAGAATGTGAAATCTTCAACCGTAGATGTGAAAATCGAGTTCCAAACACGAGATAGCAAATTTCCAAAAGACACAAAAGTATACGCCTTAATAATACATGACTCAATAATTAATTATAATATTTTAAATGGTTCGGTGTCGAACCAATCTGTATTCTAATGTTAAGGAATAATTTTTTGACACAAAAAAAAAATAATGTTTTAATAGTGCATTATTGTTATTTTAATTATAACATTTTACATTGTTCGAGTTCGACCAAGTTGTATTTTAACTTTAAGGTTTACTGTTTTACACGATAATTTTTTTATATGATATATTAAATAGTTCGGTGTCGAATAAACCTGTTTTTTAATTTTAAGTTGTTTTTAATTATCGATCTAGTGTCTAGTAAAAAGTTTTATTAAAATAAATAGATATATAAATACATTTGGTTTTTATTCTTTTTTTTTATAATTCTTATTGTGGTTCTAAAAAGAACCGATTTTATTATATCTAGTGGATCGACGATTATTTATGGGGTAGTTGAGTCTGCTTCTCCATCGTCATCATCATCCTCAACGATTTCTGGAACCCACATCCAAGAGCTGTCAGCTGGTCCAGCTAATTCGTCCGGTGGTTGACATGGAGTCCACCAACTTGAGGAATCAGGTAAAGTGTCCTCCTCCGAATCGGTTTCTTGATTGTATTCTTCCAAGTCAATCTCGATGCGTTGACCTTCCTCAAAAAATTCGGTTTCTTCCGAGGAATTCGAGTCGGGTGACGCTGGGCGCTCCACTCTTTCAGTTTCTAGACTGAATACAAACGAAGAGGAATCTGACATGATGGTTACTGATCCCAAGAATGTGAGCTTTGAGCTATTTATTTCCCGAACAGTGTTGCCGTTTCACAAATATTTTCCGAAAAAATACTTAACAAACATGCGCATAATAATTTAGTTATATTTAGTTATATTAATAAATTTAGTTATATTTATACAGCTTTTTTTTACTAATAAAAAAAAAAAAAGTTTTACGATCAAGTAGGCTTTGAACCCCCACGAAAATCGTGTCATTGTCGGTCAAAAAAAAAAAAAAAAGGTTCGGTTCGACATTGTCCCATTTTTACAACAGATAAGAACCACCCGTTGGCCAGGTGTTTCAGTTTCAAAAGAATATTTACCTGTGCGAAGAGAATGTGATAAGTGGATAAGATGGTACTTAAGCTACTGAATTTTCAAAGCTTACTTCGACGTTAATCAATTTTACAACAGGGAAGGACCACCCGTCGGGCAGGTGTTTGCGAGGGTGGATATCAATCAGTTTACAAAGGGGTGGAATATTGGCAGCGGTCGTCCCAACTCTACCTTGAAAATACTGTCATTGTCGGTCAAAAAAAAAAGGTTCGGTTCGACATTGACCCATTTTTTACAACAGATAAGAACCACCCGTTGGCCAGGTATTTCAGTTTCAAAAGAATAGTTACCTGTGCGAAGAGAATGTGATAAGTGGATAAGATGGTACTTAAGCTACTGAATGTTCAAAGCTTACTTCGACGTTAATCAATTTTACAACAGGGAAGGACCACCCGTCGGGCAGGTGTTTGCGAGGGTGGATTGTCAGCCAAAAAAAAAAAAGGTTCGGTTCGTTATCGACCCATTTTACAACAGAGAACGTTTTCAGGTGTGCCAGATGTTTCAGTTTCAAAAGAATATTTACATCGGCGTAGATAATGTGGGAAGTTGGTACTAAAAGGATACTTAAGCTACTGATTTTTCAAAATTTGGTTCAACGTCAATCAATCAATTTTACAATAGGTAAGGACCACCCGTCGGGCAGGTGTTTTCAGGTTTAGACGTTCCAAGAAATTTTACCTACGCTACTTATACGTCTTATACGACGCTAATAGTTTTGATTTTTGCCTTTCTGTTATTGGTTCAATCCCCGATAACCCAGTAAGGGTGGTTTTTCAAGATTTACTTTTTTTATTGTTAGGCTTTCTTTTGCAAAAGTAACATCCAACGTAATTTTCTTTTTTTATCTATAGAAATATAAAAAGAAATATAATATATAATATATAAAAAGAAAAAAATATATATAGAATATAACTCCGATAATAAATAAATAATTTAAATTAATATATGTGGGGTTCTAAGATTTTTTTATTTATAATAAGATTGTTCTAAGATTATTTTATTTTAAAATGTTTAACTATATACAAGAAAAAAGTAATTTTCTTTTATTTTATCTATAGAATATATCTCATAATAATAAATTAAACTAATATATATGGGGTTCTAAGATTTTTTTTATTTATAATAAAATTGTTCTAAGATTATTTTATTTTATAATTTTTAACTATATACAAGAAAAAAGTAATTTTCTTTTATGTTATCTTTAGAATATATCTCATAAAAATAAATTAAACTAATATATATGGGGTTCTAAGATTTTTTTATTTATAATAAGATTGTTCTATGATTATTTTATTTTATAATTTTTAACTATATACAAGTAAAAAGTAATTTTCTTTTATTTTATCTACAGAATATATCTCATAAAAATAAATTAAACTAATATATATGGGGTTCTAAGATTTTTTTTATTTATAATAAGATTGTTCTCAGATTATTCTATTTTATAATTTTTAACTATATACAAGAAAAAAATTTAAAATTTTTAATTTATAAATTTATTAACTATACAAAATACTATTACACTATTACAATACTATTATACAAAACTATACACATTACTATATACAAAAAAAATATATATTATTGCAAACAAAAAAAAAATATACTAAAAATTACACTTATACATAAAAAAATATTAATTTTCAATAAACATTGCCGCTAAAGCGTCCTTTTGAGATTTTTGGATGCTCATTTTTTTCTTTTGAGCATCAAGCTCCAATTTGGCTCGCTTTAGGGCTTCCTCTGCCATTTTCACTGCCGCTTCAGCCTTTGCCACCGCGGCTGCACCATCCTCTTGATTTTTTCTATAGGATTTCATCCATATCTGGATGTGTTGCGCCAAACCAAGCTTCTCCACAGGTGATGGTGCGACACGATGTGATAAAGACCCCGACAATGTAGCAATTGTTGTTGATGATGATGAAGATACTGTTTTCTTTCTTCTCCTCTCAGTATTAGTTTCATCCATCGTCAACATTCGCTTTAAATTTGGTAGAGCTGAGCCGGGCGAATGCTGTTTCTGCGATATTCTTGATTGTTCTTCATTTTCTTGATATTTCCTATTGTCTCCACTCTCGTTTTGAACAAGATCTTCAAAATCTAAGATCACTGTGTAGTTCGGATCTTCGCAGTCCGGAAGGGAATTTAATATTTCCTCACCATTTACAGAAGACATGTTTTTTATCTCTTCGGCAATATCTGAAGACTAATGCAATAACGTATGAGGAACTCTATCTTATAGCCGATCTCCCCACTGTTACACCCTCTGCGCATACTATGCAGTATTATAGAATAACTAGGAATTTTTCAAGCCTATGGCAACATCGCATTCTTCCTTCGTCTAGTTCTTACCCTGAACCCACTAGTGATCTATAAGTGTATTATTTGTATTTACTTTTGTTCTAATAAAAAAAAAAATAATCACAATAATTATTGTAAAATAGCCTTTATTTTAAACCATTTGAAAAAAAAATACTATAATTACAACTTCCTGTCTTAACCAATACACTAATTATTTTAAGAGACTTAATATAGTCCTCATTCTATGTTCACACTTTTTTAGACGCTCCTCCCTAATCTGAAGTTCCAGTTGTTGTAGTGCAAGTGTTTCTCGCGCTTCCACTACACTCAATTCAATTTGCTTGAATTCGTCCAAGAACTGTTCTTTTATTCGCACCACTTGGGCGAACAGGTTTCGCTCTTCCTCACTCAAGTAGTCGTCGAAAGTCTGCTCTTCTTGCTGTTGCTGCTGCTGCTGCTGTGGGTGTTGAACCGGTTGCGACTCTTGCTGCAATTGTTGGAGCAGCTCGTGGTGAGGTTGCTGTTCTTGTTTTTCCTTATTACACTTAGTATTACGTTTTTCACCACCACTTTTTCTCTTATAAGGTGTCTCCCCCTTCAGTATGTTCTTCAACTTTGATCCGGATTGTTTGTTTTTACCCCCTACTGGAGATGGTTTAGGCTGAACCACCTGAATATTTGATATAATATTCACTTTTGGTTTTTTCTTCTCCTCTTCCACCACTTTCGCAAATATGCGATCAAACTCTTCACTCTCAAGTTGGAAATCGATATCATCACAAATTATATTTGCCATTATAGTCTGCGTATTAAATAGGTTATGTTCGGACATCTCTCGCTAGGAAAACTAATGAAATTTATACTGTTGAGCTACTTTTTATACACGAACACCCCACTACAAACTCTCCCTATACCTGATGCATGCGGTTTGAATATTATTCTTCAATATGTTTCAAGGGTAAAGTTACATTAAACAGAGTGTATCTTAAATGTTCGGTTATATACTTTAACCTTAAAAAGTCCTTAACATCAAGATCTAAAGGGCGCGTTCAGGGACGGTTAGCGGTTGCGTAAGTGGTCTCTTTTTACACACAAAAAAACAGTCAGCCGCTTAGCAAAAGTTTCAGCGACCGGTCAGCCGCTGTGTCCCCTGAACGCACACAAACTCTCGATATTAAGATGTAACATTGTTGCCATTTAAATGTTCTCGACATTGGAATATTGAAACTGGTTGCAGTAGGGAGCTATTCACAAAATAGTGGGCGGAGTTAAAGATAGTAGGAGGAGTTAAAATCATGGTGGGGTTTACTTCTACTTAAAGCTCAAATCTGTGTTGTATTCTATCATATACTGTCACTTAGTGATACAGTACATTACTAAAATATCAAACCAGTGTCCATTTCTTACAAGTTAACTATGGATTTGTGGAAACCAGTAAAAACTCCAACACCACCGCCAGCTGACATATCCTGGGATGAACCATGGGAGACGGTTCCACCAAAACCAGCCGATATGATGCCTCCATCAATACCAGCTGATGTATCATGGGACGAACCATGGGAGACGGTTTCAATAAAACCAACCGATATGTCGCCTCCGTCAATACCAGCTGATGTATCCTGGGACGAACCATGGGAGATAGTTCCACCAAAACCAGCCGAGATGACGCCTCCACCAATACCAGCCGACATATCCTGGGACGAACCATGGGAGACGGTTTCGCCAAAACCAGTCGATACGACGCCTCCACCAATACCATACGATATATCCTGGGATCAGCTGGATGAGACGGTCCCACCATCCGATTTATCGTGGGACGAACCAGGGCAGGGATACTGCCCAGAGGAGTATTATAGGGTGAATCCTATAATACTACCTACACCGCAAGGACTCAATAAAAAACAGAGAAAAATATTTAGAGAGCGTGAACGTAAAAGACACGCTCTCTTTAATACCCCGCAGTGCTATCTATATAATTTATAGTTTATTTTTAATAATTATAATTTATAGTTTTTTTTTAAATAAATAAATATTATTAATACATTTTTTTATTTTTTTTAACAGCCCTAATACACCAATATATGCTCAGAGTTGAGAAGAAAATCATATATAGGTAGTGTTATCATTAACTTTGAAAATCTGCATTTTTTTTCTTTAAAATGAGTAGTTAAAAGGAGTAGCTAAAATGAGTTGTTGGGTCACAATGCTATCTTTTTTTTAATCAATGTTTTTTTTTTTTGTTAATAGACCTAAACACACTAATATATGTTCAGAGTTTCTGACTTGAAAAATGAATAGCTTCTAAGAAAATGTGCATTTTTCTTTAAATTGTATTTGAAATTATTGCTGACTTAAGAATAAGATATATTTGTCTGCAGCTGTACAGACTGCCAAACTATTTTTCTTCTTTGTTCTAATTTTTTATCCTACACTATAAAATGCAGTGATCTCAGTTCATGTTTGGTAGCTTTGTTAAGTGTTTAGTTTAAATATCTATGGAATAATAACACAATCTCTTTAACTTTTAGTAGGAATTATCTTAATTAAGTATTAAATTCAGATGTGAATATGAACAATAAAAAAAAAAACACATAGATTTTTTTTTTGGAAACAAATATGATTTTATTTAAGTAATATAAAAATAAATCACAGTTAAATAAGCTTTTCTAAAACATGTTAACAAAAAAAAAAATACATAAAAATTTAAACATTTACAAAGCACAAATGCGTAATGGACACAGTTATATACATTTACATATTCTATTTTCAATTAAAACTAATATCTACAGATAGGACTTTTCAACTTATACGCTTTCATCTATTTCATCTCGAAGCATCTGTTCGGCGATATATAAAAATATATTTAAATTAGTATCGGGATCTGTTTTATAAAACTCAATATCTGTATGCCCCCAAGGTAGAGTTTTTGTTGTCGTAGGAATTAGATATCTTTTGTCATCTCTAGAATTAAGAGCCACTCGGTTGGTTATCATCGTGTAAACGTCGTGCAAGTCACTTTTGAAAGATTTCATTTTACGAAATATAAGACCACCACGTTCTACTACTTTCTTATAATCGTCTACAGTTAAATCTTTTGCGATTATTGGTTTTTTTACACCTTTTGCCTTTTTTATTTCAGTGTTGACTGAGGCCACATAATAAGCTTTGGCACCTGTGCCATAGAAGCATTTTATTGGATCAGATGGAAATTCATCTTTCATTCTACCCAATATCGATTCGCTTTTCTTAATGTTGTAGTTGTTATTAAATGCATAATTTGATGTATCAAATTTTGTTGGGTTTTCAACCATAATCTGGTAAAAATTTTCCGTATATATTTTTAATATCAATGAATCCGTGTCAGTGTACAATAGAGAAGCGTCAGCGCCAAACTTTTTTTTAATAAAATTATAGAAAAAATCATAAATTACAACTTTAGACATATCCAATATTGAAAATCCCGTATATATAGGTTTATCATATAGTATTTTCAGTCTACCCATATGAATTGCGACTAAATCTTCAGTAAAAATTGAGCTGGTTTTAAAATTTGGACGAGCAATCAAAGCCTGGGCTCCTAATCGTTTACCTTTATTTTCCCAATGAGTGACTAATTTAATATCTTTACGATTTTCAACATTTTCCATGGTTTTTCCAAAAACGGCATTATTATATAGTTTAAATAAGTCTTTTTTAAATTTAGTTTTAGATTTATTCCTTAGTTCTGTATTAAAATCGATATATTTTTTTAACCATCGTGACTGCTGGAATTTTAATACCCTATGAATTTCTGTTACTATCAGATCATTTTTTATGGCTTGTTTGAGTGTTTGATAATGAACAATATATTTTCTTTTATCGTTTAAATTCGGAATTAGTTTTGTTAATTTTGATGTTTCCGTAGGTGGCACTATATTTTCAACTAAGAACGGAAGATCTGAATGTTTATCGTGCAAGTGCTTAGGATAATGTATATCAACTTCCAAAACGTAACCGTATTTACTATCGTCTTCAACATTCATTATGTCTAAATCTATTATTTCACGTTCTGTTAACCAACGGAAATCTCTTAATGGTAATGGTTGAGACATACTATATCCATATAAATTTGTTGCGTCTAAATACATAATAAATGATGAAGGTTCTGAAGGATTATAATTTGGAAGAAACTTATTATTTGCTATATGTTTTCTTTCCGAACACTGACTTACACCACCACGAATACCGTTTTTAAAAAAGTGAATCATATCAATATCCGTTAGCAATTCTAACTCTACCTTGGTCATGCGCAGCATTGAGTCAAATGACAAGCTGGGTAAACTATAGTATTGAAGTGGATCCAATTTATGTATTTTTAAACTTGTATCGCGAAAATTTTCGAAAACATCGCACAGAAGAAGAGTATCCGATTTTAAGTATAAATCCGAATAATCCCCTAGAGTTTTGCAATTGAATAAGCGCCAGACATCCTTTGCTCTTTGATAGTCCACATCGCTAATATGTTCGTTATTTAAATCATCGTAAAATTCATGTTTAGTAGGAAGTGAACGGTTATTCATTTTCTTCAAACTATCCATAAATGTATACGGAAATACACCTTTTTGACGCATTAGGTCAAATTTTTCTTTCTCCGGAAAATGCTTTTTTGTTTCCTTAAAGTTTTCAATTGATAAACCATTTCCCAAATTTGAAAGAGATGTAGATAAAAATTTAAAACTGTCTATAAACCTCAATTTTAAATATTTCTTTTTTACCTCACCCTTACTACCTACATAATCGTCAACGTAAATGCTTTTTGTAAACGAGACATACTTTTCTTTACTCTGGGCAATAATATCAATTTTGTCTCCATGACGACATAATTCCTTAATGAACATATGAGAATCGTAGCCGCTTAAATTGTGAAAGACAATGGGTACAAAGTTGGGTAATTTAAAATTTATATTACAGGTTCCGTGAGCTGCACCTCTGTATTTTCCGGTGAGATGGCAGTGGTCCCTAACTTTTTGCTCTTGGATATCAAATAATCTTTCACATATAAAACATGTTTTTGCGTTAATAAACTCAAGTTTTTCTTTATTGCTCAATGGGATCATCTTCTTAAAATCTTTTAGATATATGTTGTAAATACTTCTTAAATCATTTTCTATGTGAGAAACAAACTCTTTAGCGGCGTCCTTACCGCGATACGTCTCAAATTTAGAAAAACTATCATCGAAAGAACATTTTATCAAATAAGCGAACGAATAAGGTTCGTGTTTGACGCTTTTTAATGTATATGATTTTGTTGAACTTGGCGCAACAGTAGCAATCGGTTTAAGAATTGATTCAAAATCGGCATATACTACAAACGGTACCCTTAATTGTTTTTCGATGTTTTCGAATTTTAGAATGTTTTCGGGAACGCATTTACCGTATTTATCAAGCTTATGGGTCACAGACGGTATTGATGTGTACACGTGATTACAGTCATGATTCTGATGCAATACCAAAGCATGTGCTGAACTGAAATGTAATAAACAACCATCGCAAAAGTAAAGCTTATGTTGATGAGAGTTTATTTGGCTGGAAACAAGACGAGACAAGTTTTTTATCCAGCAATAATGTGTTTTAACACAATTTATATTGCATATATGTCCATCACTATTAACTTTACAATCTTCAATTAGTAATAGTAAATTCACATGTACCACCAATTTCCTTTCTGTGTACCGCAATGGACCTACAACTTCCCAAACTATTTTATTATTTTCAATTTTGCTTTCGAGACCATAAACGTTAACTGATATATTATTCAATTGTTCAAAAGTTTTTATATCGCGCAAATTCATTGGAAAATCCAAACCTGCTATATTTAACAATGTTGCAAAATGTGGATATGAAGATAGTTCTGCAATTTTAGACTTAGCTGGACACAAGGCTGACGTTATGGCCCACGCAAAACAATACTGATCCATGTTTCTGACATTGACAACGGCTTCTTTTCTCCGAATGGGAGTTGGCAACTCAACGAATGAAGATCCACCGATAGGGTTAAACTTGTTAACGTTAATTTCTAAGTACATAATTTTTTGTAAGGCCCAACCTAAAATAAACTGAAATATTATTCTCTATACATCTTATTTAACTTTAGTATCTATAACATACCTGAGTCTTTTTCAAGAAATTCAGATGCTTGTGTCATCAATTTATCGACAAACCATAAATATTTCTCATCTAAGTCTGAAGACCCATCGATAATTTGATTAGCAGTATTAAATGATTTCTCGCTACTATAATTTTCAGTGGATGGTAAAATATAAGAACCAAATACTTCCATGTTTACTTTGATGCTGTTATGAGCAAAAATTATGTTTTTCAATAGGTCTAACACTGTGGATTTTATTTCATTAAAGAACATTTGGTAATCTATGTAGACATTAACTGCACATACTCGATAACTAACGATCCTACATTTAAATGCAGTTTGAATAATTTGGACGTTTTCTGATAATGGAATTGCTGCATTATTCCTATGCTGCAATGTTCTCTCATGACGGGATATCTGATTGCTGGGAATTGTGATATTACATGACGTACAGGTGTGCTGAACATTTGATATTGATGGGTGTAGAGCTTGACGTTTAGGTGTTGAAGGTCCAGGGTCGGTTGCTTTTTTACACGATTCGGCTTTATGGCGCCGCATATTATAACTTCGCGTAAACGATTTACCACAAGCTTCACATATATATAACATTTTGTTAATGTAAACTTTATAAGTAATTACTGAACAACCTATACAATGCTGCACACACCAAAAATATATACGTTACAATAAGATTCTGTAGAGGCATGTCAGAGTTTAAATAAGACCTCCCCCCCCACCCATATTCTCCTAAGAGCATCGATACGCACGATTCATTCCAAAGACATCTGGTCTTTCAAGATCATACATCAAGGTCCTTGTGAAGGGTACACAAACGCATTTCAAATACATCTGAAAGTCAACCTTAAAGGTCGTTTAAGGTCTCACAACAAGGTTCTTTCTGGAATCACTCAAGGAGGTTTGAAAGCCACATATGTCAAGGTCAAGCGAACTGCGCATGTGGAGGAGCCCAATCGGCTAATATCTCCTACTCACGGATACTATTTTGTTGATCATATTTTCTTATATATGATTTTGTAAGCAGGTAGTAACAGAAGGCACCCTGTGTGATACTATCCAAACAGAACTCACTGAGAGATGGTGCAGAACTGTCGGAGTATCAAAACCGCCGTACTGCAATTCACCAGAAAAAAAAAATCTGAAAAACTTGAAAAGAATCCATCTACATATACTGGACAGTAAACTTCTATGGAACAGGCATATTAAGAACATTACCAACAAAGCCACAAAGGCTCACCTAATATGCAGAAACTGGCGAAAAATAGAAAACTAACATTTTGCACTGGATGTATACCATGATAGTAAAACCTATGATTACCTATGGAGCAGCTGCGTGGTACACAAAACTGAAGCAACGTACAGCAAAGCAAAATCTGTGCAAAGTACAGAGACTGGCATTCATTTCCACCATAGGTGCCATGAGAACATGCCCAACAGCAGCAGTGGAGGTCATTCTATAGACGTAACACCACTACACATTGTCGTCGGTAGATATATCAATGATTAGAATGGTCATTGACGGAAACAATACCGGGAGAATTGTCAGGTCAGGGGCTTGGAACACCCTTAAAAAGATAATTCCACTCCTGCAAATCCCAGTGGATATGTCATATCAAGAATGTACAACTTTGAGAAACACCTCACTGTAGTATTGGACAATAAAAAGGATTGGAAGAGAGAAACGTTTGTTCAGCATATAAAAGACCATACCATAACGTGGTATACTGATGCTTCCAAAACCAAAGCAGCAACAGAAGTGTTGAGAGGACAGGAATATTTGCCTAAATACCCCGAATCAATGGGCACCTACCTCAGCATCCTTCAGGCAGAAATCTACTGTATCAAAAGATCCATATAATTTATCTTAGATAGGAACTATAGATAACAGAAAATGGTCATCTTATTTGATAGCCAAGCAGCACTAAAAGCGACCAGATCAATAACCATCAATTCGAAGTTGGTCCAAGAATACAACTAGAGAAGTTGAACAAATTAGGCAAAAAATATAGATGACAACTCACCAAAGGATAGAGGCAATGAAAAAGCAAACGATCTAGCTAGAAAAGGACTGAATACTCCACTTACTGATCCAGAACCGTTATGCTTTCCAAGTGGAAACCAACGTAAAGCGGAACTGAAGAACCTGGAAGACTCCATCCGTAACATGGAATAGAAATCCTCCAACAGTCTAAGATACTCTCTCTACTAAAAAAAATTCTCAGAACTTACAACCGAGAAAAATCGAAGATTTTCCTTGATTTAAGCAAGAACAATAGTCAGATTGCAAAGGGGTTTTTAACAGGATGCTGTCTCCTCAATGAACACCTCAGTATATTGAAACTAAGAAGCAATGCTGAAAGTCGATTTGTTCGTTTCATGTTTTCCATCAACTCGAACTGGGTCCCTTTCAAAGCCAGACTTGGTCTTCAAAAATAGAAAATAGTCACAGGGTGCTAAATCATGCAAATTATTTAGATCGGTGCGTGTTAGACCTCGTATGTTATGCGTGTATTTTGTTCAGTTCTACGTTCTCTTAATTCTTATTACCATAAGCTATTTTTGTGAGCCTTAAGGCATTCCCTTATCATCATCATCATCACGCAGCCCCCTTTCACGTCCATAGTTGAACATAGGCCTCCTCCAAACGTCTCCAGTTCTCGCGGTTTTTAGCTGTTGCAATCCAGTTACAGTACGTCTGTTCGTTCTGTAGCTACGGGGTATCCGTGAGAGTGGAAACGATATTCTCTCCATGTTTTTCGTAAAAAATTAGACGACGCGTCCCATCAATAAAAATTCGACAAATTTGCAAGTAGCCAATAAAATGAGTGGGCGGAGCGATTTGCGGTGACGTACTCGTCAAGTCGACGTATAAAATACGACGTTGTTTATTTAAATCTTTTTTGTCCGCATTCCTTTCATATCCAGCAGACGTACTGTAGTTGTTATTCGTTTCAGGTCGTCGGTCCATCGGGTGGGAGGTCTGCCTTGGCTACGCTTGTCGGCTCTTGGTCTCCACTCTATAAGTCTTTTGGTCCATCTCCCGTCTGCCATTCTAGCAATGTGTCCAGCCCATCTCCACTTTTGTTTTGTGATTCGCTGGATAATGTCATCCACTCCCGGCGTATCTCTTCATTTCTTACTCGATCTCTCAAAGTCAGGCCAATCATAGATCTCTCCATCCGCCTCTTTGTCACTCTCAATTTTTCTGCGGTTGCTTTTGTTAGAGTGAGTGTCTCTGCGCCATAGGTCAAAACCGGGAGGATACATTGGTTAAATGCCTTTCTTTTTAGGTGTATTGGGATATTTGCTCTAAAGATGTCCCTCATTTTTCCGTAAGCCGCCCATCCGAAGGTAATTCGTCTAGCCAGTTCACAGGTTTGATTATCTCTGCTTATTTTGATCTCATGGCCCAAGTATACATATTTGTGGACTAATTCTATTCTGTTTTTGTGAATTTGTATGTGTTCGCTGGGCACCATATTAGACATTATCTTAGTCTTGTTAAAATTTATTGTTAGTCCAATCTCGTGTAATGCATCGTTAAGTTCTTGAAGCATGTCTTTGATCTCTCCCAGACTATCTGACACTATAACGATATCATCCGCAAAGCGTAGATGGTTGAGTATCCCTCCATCGATAACTATTCCTTTTTGTTGCCAAGCTAGCATTTTGAATGCATGCTCAAGAACAGTTATAAACAATTTTGGCGACATGGTATCGCCCTGCCTAACTCCTCTTTTTATTTTTATCTGGTTAGTTGTGGAATGTAGATTTACAGTTGTTGTAGCATTGTCATATATGTTTTTTATTATGTTACAATATCGATGGTCGATTCTACATTCTTGTAGCGCTGTTAGGAAGGCTTTTTAAAATCGACAAATATCAGTGCTAGGGGACGATTGTATTCGATGGTTTTTTTTATTACGGTTTTTAAACACTGCAGATAATCGTTGGTACCAAATTCGGAAAGGAAACCAGCTTGCTCTTTAGGTTGGTAGAAGTCCAATTTTGCCTCTAGTCTATTTATTATAATTCGGGTATATAGTTTATAAAGATGGTTAAGAAGGCTAATTGGTCTGTAATTTTCCAGGTCTGCTATGTCTCATTTTTTATGTAAGAGGATAATTATTGAGTTATTCCACTTTGTAGGGATATTTTGATTTTCCAGACAGAGATTGAACAGCCGTTGAATATTGGTCATTAATACTGTTCCTCCCATCTTTATCGCTTCTGTGACGACACCATCATCCCCCGGAGCTTTATTGTTCTTCATATTTTTTAGAGCATTGTAAATTTCACTTACAGAGATTTCCGGAACATCCTCAGAACCCTGATTTTGAACCTTTCCTTGTAGGTACTTCCTCGAGTCTAGAGTAAAATGGTTGGTGTATAGTGTTTCATAGAATGTTTCCACAATCTGTAATTCCCTTATATACGAAAGAAAAGATAAGAAATTAAATGTGTATCTAATTTAATTCAAAATATTTAGAATTAATATCAAATTTATGGACTTAACTATAAATATTATTAGCTAATTATTATTTTGTTTCAAATTTTAGCAATACGTTTTATATAACTTCGTATCTCCCTATTGTTAAGATTGGTATACACTCCTGGATACCGGACCCTGCCACATCCGAACCCCCAGGATACGATACCCACTAATTTGCCACCTGATACCAGAGGCCCGCCAGAATCACCCTGACATGAATCCTTACCGCCTTGAGCAGCCCCTAAAATAAATAAAATAGTTATGAATCTCTATCACATATTAAAAGGGTTCATTATGGAATGCTTGTGGAATATAGTTTTGGTATAAATATAAAATTACCTGCACAAATCATCCTGATGGTAACTATACCTCGACGTCTATATAACTGTTGACATTTGCTTCTTTCGATTACAGGAATCTATAAAAATAAAAGTTAATCTTAATTTACTGAAATAATCTATACTAATATATAAAATCCTTAAGTGACTGACATACTGATTAATCACGATCCTGCTCAAACCACTCAACGTAAGAAGCTCAATTTTGGCATACAGGTTGATTCCAGGGTTCGATAAGAAGGGATTTTTCGAAATTCCAGTTCCAAGAGGGTGAAACCACCCCTCAAATATTACAATATTTTTTATTTAAAAAACGGTCAAGTTCCCGAAAAAACACTTAAACACGTATATTTTATTTTGTTTTTTTTACATATTTTAAGATTTTTTAAAAATGTATACAGGGTGTTTTGAAAAATCTGGTCATTGATTAATCACGATCCTGCTTAAAGCGCTTGACGTAAAAAGCTGATTTTTGGAAAACAGATTGACTTTAGGGTGTAGAGGTTCGATAAGAAGGGATTTTTCGAAACTCGAATTCTAAGGGGGTGAAACTATCCCTCAAATATTAAAATATTTTTCATTTAAAAACCGGTGAGTTTTTCGGAAAAACTCTTAAACACGTATACTTTATTTTGTTGTTTTACATATTTTAAGATTTTTTATAAATTTATACAGGGCGTTTTATAAAATATGACCATTGAGTAATCACGATTCTGCTTAAACTGCTTGACGTTTAAAGCTGATTTTTGGCAAACAGATTGACTGTAGGGTGTAGAGGTTCGATAAGGAGGGGTTTCTCGAATCTCAAATTCCAAGAGGGTGAAAACGCCCCTCAAATATTACAATATTTGTTATTTAAAAAACAGAAACTACCCCTCAAATATTACCAAGTTATATAATAATATTGTCATATTGTTTTTTCTCATGCTGACATAAATGTGAGAAAATTTTATCCAGATTTTATGTTAATGGAAATTCTTGCTTTGCTTTATCATCACCATTACAAATGATTAATTCGACACGAACGAAGTGGCTGGTACACGCTAGTTTAATTATATTTTTATACTTATTTATATCAACTATAATTTCTTTAACCAAGCTAATGTTTTTAAACCTAATTTAAAAACCAATATCCTGGCATTTAATATATTATTTTTTTCTAACAGACGAGGTGTGCCTTACTGTTGGAGTTACATGTTTCTTGGCAGTCGTTGGCATCAGTCGACTATAATTATACAATTTGCCACATAATTAAAGGATAATTATGTGACAGTCACCAAGTGGTAAAGGTTCAACCAACAAGTGCAACAACTATAGAACATTTTCACTTCTGTCACATCCCAGCAAGATAATGCTAAATGTAATAAATCAGCTTTGAAATAATTACCTCGACTCCCAAATACCTAAACAACAAGCAGGATTTGTCAAGGCAGAGGTACCCGTGAACAAATAATCAATGTGCGATAACTGATGATGAGAAAAGTACAGAGAATTTAATGTACCAGCTGTCATTTGCTTTGTTGACTGCAACAAAGCATTTGATTGATTCAAGTGGATAAAGCTCTGGAGGATTTTAAGAGAAATGGGGGTACCAGAACATCTTGTAGCATTGATCGAGAGCTTATATACTAATAACACAGCAATGGTAAAAGTGGAGGAACACATGTCTGAAAACACTTTCAAACTCATAAAGGCGTCCGACAGGGGTGTATACTCTCACCTATCCTCTTTAATATATATGGGGAATATATTATGCGGAGAGCTCTGGAAGACTGGGATGGAGATATCAGTGTGGGTGGAGTTAAAATCAATAACTTGCGATTTACAGACGACACAACATTAATTACGACCAATGAAGAAGAAATGGCGAGTCTATTGTTGCGAGTGGAAAATGAAAGTGCTGAGATGGGACTAACTATCAACCGCCATAAAACGAAATTAATGTTCGTGGACAGAGGAAAAACCCTACAAAGATCTTTCTAGGTTAATGGCATCGAAGTGGTTCATGCTTTTGTTTATCTAGAATCAAACATAAACGACGAAGGCAATTGTAAAATAGAAATTAAACGCAGAATACAATTAGCAAAAACTGCCACAACGCGTCTTACCAGAATATGGCAGAGCAGAGTGATAAAAAACCCACACAAAAAAGAATTTGCAGCGCACAATTGTCTTCTCAATATTTTTTTATGGAGTGGAATCCTGGACCATCAAAGCATCGGAAAGGCGCATGATAGACAGTTTTGAAATGAGATGCTACAGACGTATGCTGAGAATACCTTGGACAGCTAGAAGAACTAATCTATCAATAATTAATGAGCTCAACATAAGCACCCAACTGTCGGCTATCTGTCTGAAATGCATCCTCGAGTACTTTGGACACATTGCTCGAAAACCTGCCAACAACATGGAAAAAATTAGATGGATCGATCAAGTAAGACAAACAACATGTCTACCCCTACACTCAGCTATCCATCGAGCTGAAGACAGATTAGCCTGGAAAGATCTTATAAAACAAAAAGTATTTTCATAGAAGTCACGACCCTCAGCTATGAGGAACGATTGGAGAGAGAGAGAGAGAGAGAGAGAGAGAGAGATGTGACAGTCATAGACAGTCTTATTCGCAGTCATTGGCAGTCGCTTGGCAGTAAAATTATGTTTTGGTAGTATACGTTCATTTTTTACCCAAGTTGACCCCTAGATAACAAGTTTTAGGAGGTAACATATTATTTGTTTTTACTGCATATTAAATTTTATATTTTTAACATATTAATTTATGTCAAAATATTCGAATTACAGTGTCTAACCGTTTGTTTCTGAAATATGCATATTTGCTAGGATATTTGCACATTCGCCATATACCACAGAGTATCGTATACCTTTTAAAAGACTATGCAAGTACGCATAGTCTCCTAAAATAAGGGGCGATTCCTTATATGATTCAAATAAGGACTACTACATCTAAAGAAAAATATTGTACAGAATGTAGTAAACAAGCCAAAATTTGAGTTAGTTTTCGTTCTTTCACACCCTGTAGATAATAATAATAGCTCCCGTATATAGCGTTTAACGCCTTGGGAGTAGCAAGGTACAGCTTGCTATGCCCTGTAGATACTATATGTAAATACAATATAGTACCTCTACTGATTGTAGCTCAGTCGGTAAGGTATGGCTGGACTCTCTCAAAGTTCCCCATCCACTTGTAATTACTTTGGTACCTGGAAAAAAAATAATACCTTCAAAAAAAATTTAGTTTGTCCAAAGAGCTAAGGAAGATTTTAAAATGCTTATATCCATTGCCTAGTAATATCACCCCTAGCGCTACAATATACGATATTAATATATACTATATAATTTACTATAGTATATTTTGTAATAATTTAAATGATTACCTATTTAAAATAAAAGTATTTACCTTCTTTGGGTTCTATTGTAGAAATAGGAACATTTTTGATATTAGCACTGTACATAAAGGCAGGATTGACTTCTAGAATCGATATGTCGTAGTCTACAGTAGCATAATTGAATTTCGGATGTTGATGAACTTTGGCAACTTGAACCATTTGCCCACCACTAGTTCTTGATGTAGAACCAGCTCTAAGGCGTATTCTCGATGCAGATAAACTGAAAATGAGGATAAGATATATAATTATTTTAATAGTATTTACATTGAACCCTAACACAGTATCATCTTCAGTGTTAGTTTAAAAACTCATATTTTTTAAATTTTCAAAGTAAAATAACTCGGTTATTTTGGACGTGTTTGAAAAACGGCAAAGAGAAAATATGTTTCTTTTATGGAGATCTACCAGCTCCGCGAAAATATTTGCACTTATTTAAGACTCACCCTGTATAGAAAAAATATCTAGGTAAATAAAATAGTAGTTGATATATTATACAGGGTGAGTCTTAAATAAGTGCAAATATTTTCAGGGCAGGTAGATCTCGATAAAAGAAACATATTTTCTCTTTACCATTTTTCAAATAAATCCCAAATAACCCAGTTATTTAAGTTTAAAAATTAAAAAAAAAATGTCTTTTTTGAAAAAATTTTGAGAGCCACCGGATTTTTTCTGTATTTGCATCCCTTTTATTGTCGTAACCATAGAGTAAAGCCGTAACTATGGTAATATCAGAGATTAAGAAATTATACCGTGGGAAAATTTACGGTGAACAGGCAGTTCTAAAAAATTTTCGAAAAATATACAGGGAAATTTAGAAGAAACTGCACGATTTTCAACATCTTTTTTTAGCGAATAAACCTCATAGACGTGTTCTTGGAGTCGAAATATACCACACCTGAAAATATTTGCACTTATTTAAGACACCCTGTATATAATTTGCTATTTTATTTAGATTGAATTATAAATTCTTTCTCATCAGTGGTTCTTACAATCATAGGTAATCATTTAGCTATAATTTAATTTCTTTATAATAGCAGTATGCATTATATAATTAAAAATGACATATGTAAACGGATACCGAGTTGCAATATAAATTACATATTTTTTTGATAACAAAACAAAAGGAAGTAAGAAATTAACAAATATATTTTTTTGTGGTATTATTCGTAATTAAAACTATCTACAGACTAAATTAGATTATAGGAGTAATAAATAGGTTTTTAATCTTAGTTTGTTCTTTTTTCTATAGCAACTGTTAAAATTATTGCCTTTATCTATCAAAAATAGTAGATAAAATAGTACTTTAACCGCAAGGGTAGATTAAATGATACTTTAACAGCGAGGATAGGTTAAAAACTTTATTTCTTCTCGCACGTTTTTTAATTGCTTCCATTTTGGAAAATTTTTGTATTCCTTTTCATAAGTTATTCGGGATTTAAATGGAAGTAGTTTGGATATGGCGTTTGTCGCCTCACCCTAATATCTGTTGGTAATTTACTTATTTCGTTTTGAGCCATTTCTGGCTCCAGTTCAATCAGCAATTGGCACGAAAAAGAATTAAAAAATATTGACAACAAAGAGACAGATTTATTTATTTGTGAAATTACATAGAAACCAACGCCAACCCAACACACTATTTTTTCTACTCGTAATAAATTCCTAGAAATAATAATTTCTGAATATTTTTTAACACGTAACTCGCTATGAAAAAAAATATTGTTTTATACACGACAATAAAGTTGCATTGTCGTCTGCCGAAATTAATTCACTCGCGATTTCATCGCTCGTGAATTAATCCTTTCGGTCGACGATAAAATACCATTTTATGGTCTTGTATAAAAAATAACTATTAATTCAAACTCTAAATGATATTAAATTATAGATAGACCTATACTACATACATAGAATTTATCACAGAAATTATAGAGGTGTAAACCACACGATCGAAGAAAAATAGACGTCAGAATTGGCGTGGAAACGAATATATCACTGTAAACTGTAATTATATGTAAAATTATTATTATGGTAAGCGAATCGAACGTTATTTGTAAGACAAAAATTACCAATACTTGTAAGAAAAATATTATTCAAAAGTATTAAAAGAAGTGGGTGAAAATGAACAGTACTGTTCGTGGTTGATTGCATTTCTTTCTATTTAACATTTTATTTATGGTTTAGAATGGGCTAACCCCGAAGTCTCGAAAATTGTGACATTTTGTTTTGGCTGATTGAGTTACTTATGCTTTGCGACCACCTTCACGTGACCCTATCATTTATACCCAATTATATCAATTTATAGATTATTTACTAAAAATAATTTTTGCTGAAAAAAAATATTGTAACCTAAAGATGTCAGAATCAATTTCTAATAATAGTTATTTATTATGTTTTTTTATTATTCGCACATAAAGACCGCATCATTTGGAACTTTTATTTATTTATTGACTTAGGTGATATTTGACTTAGGCGATAGTTTCTGCTATGATTTAGATTAAAGAAAAAATTTGCCTGTTGTCCTCGGGTATCTGTCAATTTTTTTGTAACATTTTAGTCATATGTGACAAAGGGCTAAAAAATGGGTTTACTGGCAGAATTTCGAAAAACTTTTTATAATGCATTAATTTTCTGCCATCTACAGTATGTCACGGGATTGTCTTTATATATCGGGTGCGTCTAAAAAGTGACTCACCCCTATAACTTTTTTATTTTCTCAGATAAAAAAAAAACAAGATTTGGCATGTTAGTATATGACATAAATTAGGTTTGATTGAAGCGTTCAATTGTTTTCGGTTACTTCCTGTTTCACCGGAAATGACTACAACTTTTGATTTTTAAATTGGATCCTCGGTATTTTTATACTTTATTCGATAGGAAATTACACTCTGAATAGAATGACATATCATATGTCAAGTTTTGACATTTTTGCTTATAAAAAAATCGTATTTTAAATTTCAATCTAGAGTGCTATGGCTGTATTAAAAACATTAATTTTTAATCAAGGAGCCTTGCAAAAATATATTTGATCGTCTAATGTGTTTAGTGTCTTGTTCTGGCCGGTTAAAAGATACCCAAATCTTATTTTTAATCATATCTCAATTTTTTCAAATGAAACGAGGGTGGCTCATTAGCATATTTAGAAAAAGCATTTTTTTACTAATAATTTGATACCACACACTTGGTATTTCAGAGTTAAATTTTCGTTACAAACCGCAAGTTAATTTCAAATAAAGCATATGCGAAAATGTCATAAGTTGACATATATGATATGGCATTCTATTCAGAGTATTATTTTCTATCGAATAAAGTAAAAAAAATACAAAATTTGTAGTTATTTCCGGTGAAACAGGAAGTAACCAAAAACAATTGAATACGTCAATCAATCCTAATTTAAGTCATATACTAACATACCAAATCTCGTTTTTTTAACTGAAAAAATAAAAACGTTATAGGGGTGAGCCACTTTTGAGACGCACCCGGTATAGGATCATATATCTCCTATGCGGAGCAAAATACTTCAGTGAAAGCTCTGCATCAGGTTCAATTTCTGGCAGTTGTTTTTGCCTCCTTTCCATGTTGACCCTATTTATTAAAGTTCATCCAATATGGAACATCTCCATGTTTGAGCAGGTCATCCTTGTTTTCTTTTCGCTATGTTACCATCAGGGTTCCGCAAAGTGTGACCTAACTATCCCCATTTTCTTTTGCGAATTTCAAAGCCTACTTCTTGTTTGTTTGTACGATGAAGTAGGTCTGTATTGCGTATAGTGTCCGGCCAAAAGATTTTTAGTATTTTTCTATTGAGCAGCTACTGATAAGTACCTGTGGGCAATTGATGGATATTTTTGTCACTCTCCATGTCTCACAGTTATATAGTAAAACTGATATGACGTTGGAATTGAATATTCTTAATTTTGTTTTTTGTCGAGAGTTGACGGGAGGTTCAATTATGTTAGTTTTTCCCGAACACCTTTTTTTTAGAGTTTTCCAAACCATCGCATGGGGGATACTGTCAAAAGCTTTGACGAGATCTACAAGAATAAAGGTAACCTAAATTATATTGACTGCTCTATGATAATGCGCAATGTATTAATATGGTCAATGCACGAGTGGTTCGGTCAGAAACCAGCTTGGTTCTCCCTCAGAGATCATATAGGTTCTATATAGGAGTTTAACCTTAAATGAACTATAGAGGATATTAACTTGTGAATGGTGTTTAACAAAACAATACCTCTCCAGTTGTCACAGTTGGTGGTATCTCCTTTTCTGAGAGTTTAATGAGATCCTCTTTCCATTCATCTGGGATGATGCCCAAGCTCTTGTAAGTAGAGGATGTCTGCTGTTGTCTGCTGCTGTGCTAAGATCTGCTTTGATCTGCTTGCCTGGGTGCCGTACCGCCAACACAGGAACGCATTAAACAAGTTGCAACAGAGACATCTTAGACAACTCTTAAGAATCAAATGGGTCCATCATATCTCAAACGTATCGATCCTTGAAAAGGCTAACTGCGAGAGTATTGAAGTCATGATTACAAAATCCCGCTTAAGATGGGCTGATCACGTATGCAGAATGCAAGAAAACCGCATACCAAAATCTCTACGGTGAGCTTGTAGACGGTAAGTGGAGGCCGGGTGGACTACTCAAAAGGTACAAGGATATTTTCCACAAAAACTTAAAGGGAATTAACATGCAGAATGAATGGGAAGAAGCAGCTCACAATAGAATGGAATGGAGAAGAATTGTAAACTCAGTTAACAGCGACAACCAAAAAGTAAAGAGGCAACAAAGCAATGAGATTTTTGAATGTCCGGAGTGCGGTAGACAGATAACATCACGTATCGGGCTTTTCAGTCACAGAAAAGCTCATTAAAGAAAACGCCTTGTGTTCTGATGCGTGCCAGTCAGCGAGTAATGGCAGTAGTATGCAGGTGGATGACACTTCTTATGGAAGAACTGGCAATGGTTGAAAACTTGACTACAAGCGATTTTCTAGGAATCTTCCTTACCGATAAATTATTGAAAAGAGTGACAGATAAAACCTTGACGTTCTTTCAATATTACAGTTCCCCTCTTTTTCTTTCTAAAGTGTGCGTTCAAAGGAGACAAAAACAATTTTTGGTAACCCATAATTTGTTATTCGAACACCACTTTTCTCCTTGTCGGGTCGTTGACGTTGACTTGTCGCCATTTTATTTCTTTTGTTTACACGCTGCAGTTTGCCTTGTAAATTTAATACATAAATTATTTAGGCAAATATAGGTTTTTGATAAAACTTCTTGGACTAACGTGTAGGTAAGTGTTGATAAATAATTTTTTTTCATCTTATCATGCTCATTGTCATTCTCCTGATTTAAGTGACAGAAAAGGATCATCGGGTCACCGGATCATCAAATCAAATTGAATTTTATATTTTTTCATCCCAGGACCGATAATAAAATATATATTTTATGAATACCTTCCTAAATATCAACGAGATGAGCCATCGGAAGAAAGGGACCATAGTACAAAACAGAAAGGTGATCTTTTTTCTTTCCACTTAGGATATTGAAATTATTATATACTGTAGTCGTGTTCGGCATTATGCTCTGAGAAATATAGATAAACAAAGAACAACAGATATAAAGCATCCCAGAGGAAAAGAGAGGCAATACCTGTATGTACTCTCTCTGATATTTGTGAAAGTTACAGCTAAGTATTGTTGTAAATGTCATCTTTTTGACCGACCTGAAAACTTCGAGCAAAAAGATGACACTTTCAACAATACCCTGACAGATATCAGAGACGATACAGGTTTTTCCTCTCTTTTCCCCTGGAATACTTTTAATTTATTATTCTTTGTTTATCTAGATCTCTCAGAGCACTATGAACGAACTCAGCTTGTATGTTTGAAATAATCGTCCAGTTGGCTTAAAAATAATGATCGATGACATTTCTTATATAATTTTACTTTCAAAATTATGATATATATATATATATATATATATATATATATATATATATATATATATATATATATATATATATATATATATATATATATATATATATATATATATATATATTGTCTCTTCATTTCTAAACCATCTATGACGCCATTTTTTCAGTTTTGTTATAATTAATTTTGTCTCTTGATCTACTTGTAACATTATTCTTTTAATTTTATTAATTTATTGTGGTGAAATTAATTTCTGTTGTATATTTGATATTGATATTAAACATATTTTTAAAAAATGGTGTATTTTTTGTGTTTTTATCTATGTCATAATTAAAAATAAATGAAGAATTAAATTTTTTTATTTTTTTAAACTTCCCGCCATGCGTGACAATCTAGTCAGTAGTTCCTACAAGCGATATTGGGGGCGCTAGTAGCAGTAAACTTGTCAACAGTGTCAAATTTAAACGTCAATTTCACTTTCCAATATTTAGCAAGGCGCTAGCACTTCTCCTTGTGTATATGTTTTGTGGTAGTATGTATGTTTCTGCTTTGAGGAGGTCTGCAAGGACGTTATCGGGGCCGACTGCTTTATTGTTCTCAAGTGTTTTAATAGCCTTTTGTATTTCTGTTTTAGTTGGTGTGTTTTAGTGTTTTTTTGATAGGCCATTTCGAGAAGACAATCCCGAAATGCGGGAGTGTCTTTACAAGACTTGTTTATTGACCTTTTCAGCATCGAACTGAATAAATTTTGTGTTTGTTTAACATTTTAAAACAGCAAAAAATATGACGTTAATTAAAATTATATTTTAGAAAAAAATTAACTACATTTTCATGTTCTTCTAGGCATTAAAAAAGATCTGTTATTGTCGAATCTGTTATTGGTAAATTAGCAGTAACAGATTATTTTATAATTAAAATAATCTCACAACAAGAAAACCAAAATTACCTTACTGTACAATGAGCAGCTGTAAGAGCTATTTTTGTTCCAATAATAGATGCTCCACAAATATGACGTCCTCCGTACTGCATGGATAACTGATAAGGATAACTTGATATATCAACTTTCTGACCACCCACTATCCTCGTTAATCCGTTCACGACACTTTGAGCTTGAGTCACAAACATTACTGTATCTACAATAATGGCATTTTTGTTGTTTGATATCAGTACCTAACTTAATAAAAATTATATACATACGAATAGTGTTGTAAAATATATAAAATTGCACCAAAAAAAGTCGACATATTAGCATCGCTTTTATCTTATGACTCGTCAAACTGTATTTTCCATCGTGTTTTTTTTATATTATTGCAAAAATATTTTGATTAATGATGTTCGTGTGTATATTCGCGCCGCATTTGACATTATACTAAAATAATTGTTCTATCCTCGGATATGCAGAATAATAGGAAATTATTCGCTATTAAGCGTCATTAGAGTACTTTACACAGATAAAATGTCATCATTCAGTTACCTATAGTAAATCTCTATAAAATGGTAGTTCAAGCGTATTTAGAAGATATATTATGCTATTTAGTGCATTAAGTGAATCGCATTAACTAATAATAAAAGTAGGCATGCAGATATTTGTTTCCTAATAAGAGATACGCATTATGTAAATTAATAATGTCTATACATATTAATTTTTAAATATCTCTCCTTAAAACAACCGAAAGGTTTAGCTATTGGAACATGATACATATATTTTGAAAAGCAATTTTATTATTTTTTTATTTTTAAATAATAGACCTACCATAGAGCTGAATTTAAAATAACAAAGCTTTCATAGCAATTTTATACAGGTGCGTTCATATTGGCTGCGCCGCTCCGCGCAAATCATTTTTTTTAACGTATACTTTTGTGCGCGCTAAAAAAATACACTTCAAAAATACATGTTAAAGAAATGTTTTGCGCGAAGCGACGCAGTTGGTGTGAACGCACCTTAACAAACGGAAATATATAATTTTTTTGACTCTCCCTGTGTCATATCCAATAGAAAATGAATTAGAATTATGCAGACATAGAATTAGATAGATAGATAAATAGTATACCGGGTGCGTCTTGAAAGTGGCTCATCCCTATAACTTTTTTATTTTTTCAGATACAAAAATGACATTTGGTATGTTAGTATATGACATTAATTAGGATTGATTGACGTATTAAATTGTTTTTGGTCACTTCCTGTTTCACCTGTTTATTCGATAGAAAATGACACTCTGATTGACATATCATATGTCAACTTTTGACATTTATGCTTTAAAAAAATAATATTTTAAATTTCAATCATGACTGCCTGTGTTAAAGACACTAATTTTTAATCAAGGAGCCTTGGAAAAATAGTTTTGATCGTCTAATGTTTTTCGTGTTATGTTCTGACCGGTTAAAAAGTGCCCAAATCGTATTTTTAATCATGTCTCAATTTTTTCAAATAGAACAAGAGCGGCTCATTAGCATATTTAGAAAAAGCATTTTTTACGAATAATTTGGTACCACACACTTGATGTTTTGAGTCAAGTTATCGTTATGAAACGCATGTTACAACTTACAACTTCAAACAAACCATATGCGAAAATGTCAAAAGTTGACATATGATATGTCCATAGATAAAAGAAAATAATCTTCTAGGATATGTCATTATATTCAGGGTGTCATATTCTATCAAATAAAGCACAAATATACCGAGGGTGCCATTTAAAAATCAAAAGTTGTAGTCATTTCCGCTGAAACAGGAAGTGACCAAAAACAATTGAATACATCAATTAATCCTAATTTATGTCGTATATTAACATACCAAATCTCTACTGTTACCTGAAAAAATAAAAAAATTGTAGGGGTGAGCCACTTTCGAGACGCACTCGGTATAGTTCATATCAAATAAATAGTTTCGTGTTAAGCTTGACCGGCACAGCGTTGCACATTTTTACATATTTTCTTCTAATCAAAATATTTTAGAAAACAAAAATAAATTAATTATAAATATACAGGGTGAGTCTTAAATAAGTGCAAGTATTTTTAGGGGTAGTATATTTTGATCCCAGATACACAAAATGCCGGGAATCACCCTATATAAGCCTTTGTGGTCATTACCGCAAAACTGTAGAAAATCAGTAAAAAAACTTTCAGTAGAAAATAAAATAATATTAAATAAATCTATGATAGTCAATAAATACACACCGGAAAAGTCTAGGGATATTACAATTTTATCCAGCCATCGTCAGTAATTTTATTATTTGCATTTCTGATATAATAAAATTAAAATAAACAAATAGTTTACAGGACGTATTGGAAATGAAAATGCGAAATTTACTGAATTTTTCAAATTTACCTTGATTTTTATTGAACTCAAAAAAATACACACATTTTTTTTTATTCTAAACTGTAAATTAAAAAAAAGAAGATAACACCATTTTTACTTAATAAAGGGTATAGCCTCCTACTGTTCATTACAGCCCTACATCGTCTCTCCATGCTCCTGATCAGATTGTCGATCTCTTCTTGAGGTACAGCCTGTCACGTTGCATTCACGGCCCGAATCACATCCCTACGAGTTTCACGAGGCATACCCATTCTCAAAATTCTTCTTTGGACCGCGTCCCATACGTGCTCAATGGGGTTGTGCCGGAGATTTTGCCGGCCAGGGTAAGATGTTTAATTGATGAGCATTGATAAACTCACATACCACTCTGGCTGTATGAGGCCGTGCATTGTCATGCATGAGAATGAAGTTTCTCCCAAAATCATTGGCATATGGTAACACGACAGGCTCAAGAATTAAATCACGATTTGTGATTCCTGTTAAAAACCTTTCAAGAAAAACGAGATCGGTTTTTCGGCCTAACTGGACTCCTTCCCAGATCATAACTGTTCCACCTTGATATGGGTGCACTTCCTGAACATGATCCAACCGAATAAGATTTCCCGGTTCTCTCCATACCCTAAGCCTTCTCGAATCCGGATGAATTCCAAAGCGTGACTCATCCGTGAAGAGAACATTGGCCCATTGTTCATTCGACCACTGAATATGATCTTGAGCCCACAAATATCGTACCTCTCGATTTCCTCTCGTTAAGGGTCAGGACTAACGGTTACATTATGTGTTTCCTGGAGAATTAAACTAAGCTCTGGTGCTGTAAGAGTCGGTCGGCGTCGAGCATTTAATTGTAAAAAATGATCTTGCTGAGGGGTAGTAATGCGATGTCGCCCTGTGTGCCTTTCAGCAACATCACCACTTTCACGGTAGCGTGCACTTAATCGCGATATTACACTTTGCGTTGTATTTAATGCTCTAGCTACGTCGATTTGGCGCATTCCAGCTTCGAGCATACCCATGGCCCTTAGCATTTCGTCTCTGTTAAGATGTCTACGCTCCATAATGTCGTTTAATACAACAGAGTTATATGAATGAATTCTGGCCAGTTATCATAAAAACATAGCCAGTACAGGTTAAATTCGAACAATTGATGCTAGGTGCTTTTTATACATTTGACAAAAAATGCACAAACACTTCTGCATATATCCCAAATTTAGAAATAACTAGTGTAACTACTTCGTTTCAATCGAAGTAGAAAGAATCTGCCTACAAATATGTGGTTGTTTATTCAAAACATATATTTTTAACTTTAATAAAATTATATCCCTAGATTTTTCCGGTGTGTGTAGTTAATTAGTTTTAATTAAAAGAATGTTATTAACCATATTAACCATTTAACGAATCTATTATAAACAAAAAGCCATTGTATCATAATTACTTTCACAATAATTTATAACACAACTTGTCAAAATATTTAGAATTCGACCGTAAAATGTTTTTTCGTAGTCGCAAGGTTGAGGATAATTACAATTTACCGGTTAGTTCTTACACATACAGGGTGTTCATATAGTGTGACAAGTTATTATCGAGAATTTCATAATATTTCAATAGCTAAAAAAACGTTTTAAAAAAGGTTAAAGGGAGGTGAGAGATGTACAACACAAAAAAGTTAAAAATCGTGTCATAGCCCACTTGGTTAACCGCAGACACGTGTTTCTGGTTTACTGTCAATTATGTTTTGTTAATAGGTATAAAAGAGATATTGTATTACTCAACTTACTATTTTTGTAGAAGGTATAATAAAAAGTAAATACTTGCATATAAATAAATAATGTAAAAGCGGGACTTTTTAAGGCGCATGGTCGATTAAATATGTCGAATTAAGAATTATATTTCACGTTACTATGATGAAAGTAGAAAATATCCAGTATAAAATAAGTAAGATTTTATTATATCTATTATCGGTTTTAGTTCCTTTTCTTTGATAAAAATATTTCTCCATTTTTTCATCTAAAATAAAAAAAAATCTGAAAAATAAAAACAGTGTGGGCACTCTGTGCGCATATTTGAAGTGAAACTTCTTGCTAACAGCTATTAAATTGGAAGATTTGAAGGATATACAGAGAAGACCAGGCTACTAGTAACATAGCAAGTTGCCGGACGAATTTACGTTTACCCGTTTTGCGTTTCTACTCGAGAGTCACTGCCGGCTACTCGGCTGGTCAGGCAGTACGCAGTTGCAGTTGTGCTTGGACGGGTCGGTCGTGACAGACCAGGAATATGACGCGAGGAGTGTCGTGTATTTATTATTTTCATTTTAAGTGTTTACCTTCACTTAAGGTAACATTTAAAATAAAAATACTTAAATATTTATTATTTGAATGTGTTTACAAGCCAAAACTAAAAATAAATAAATTCTCTAAACCCCAAAAAAATTATAATATTACTCTAAATAAAAAATAGTTATAACAAGTGTTCAAAAAGACCACCTTCTTGTGCTAGAAAGAAGCCTAGGCGGTCGTAAAATCCCCGCCTGACATTGGCTAACATATTAGGGCTAATAGTTTGGAAAGCCTCTCGTGTTTTTACTTGCGTTCATCCAGATTATTAGCCCTATTATGACCATACACTTTGGATTTTACATAACCCCACAAAAAGAAATCATTGGGAGAAAGATCTGGTGATCTAGCGGGCCACAAAATAGTTCCATATCCACTAATTAAACGGTTGGGAAAAGTATTGTTCAAATATTCTTGAACAATACGGGCACTGTGGGGCAACCACCTCAGCAATTTGATTACTTGAAAACGTAGGATTTTGATCCGCTGTAGCACAAACGAACACTTGCTTTAACTCCTGTTATTAAAAATATGCATGAAAATTTACTTCCTAGCCCATAAGGTTGGTACAATATCAAGTTTATTATAGTGATTTTCTTAGCCGCGTATGGCACATATCATTACCCAGTGTTGCCACAAGCTTACTTTTCATCGGGCTAGCGGGCCTAATCGGCCTAATTTAGGCAT